GGACGTGACAGGCCATTTATGCCGCTAGAGGTTTATGAGCAAAATTTCCATCTTGACTCACGCGAAGTTCTTCTTGTGGACAAGGAATGGGATGCAGAGTTGGATTCAATTTTATGTTCTGCCCAAGAATCGGTGTATCGTTTATATTCAGATGGAAATCAAGCTGATGAGCTACAGATTGCGTCATTTCTTGCTCTTTTTGTATCAGATCACTTTGGGGGAACTGATAGGGGTGCTCTTGTTGAATGGGCACGTAAAGCTAATCCTCTTTCAGACTACAGGAAGCCCTTTGTTTGCACTTGCCCAACAGGAAACATGGACTCTATTAGTTTGTCTACTAAACCAATTGCGAAGATTGTTGAAGATATTGGGTTTTCTGATCTTTGTGAGAAATCTCTCCGTTCTCTTAAAGCACGACGAAAGTCCATCATAATTCCCATTGGAACCTTGCAGTTTGGTGTGTGTAGGCATAGAGCATTGCTATTCAAGGTGATTCTTGTGCTAAATTTATTATTTAATATCTGTTTGTACTGATGTCTGTTATTTGCATTGTCTTTTAATTTGTTGTAATCTGATGAAGCTTAATTTTTGTAGTATCTATGTGATCGATTGAAGCCTCGAGTACGTTGTGAGCTTGTTAGGGGTTACTTGGATTTCATGCCACATGCGTGGAATATTATATTAATCAAAAGAGGGTCCTCAGAGATTCGGATGGTAGTTGATGCATGTCGTCCGCTTGATATAAGAGAGGAGACAAATCCAGAATATTATTGCAGGTCAGTATCTCTTGTATGTATGAACCAGTCTTGGTAAATCTCTTCCTTGTTGAAGATGCTCTGCATCTGGTGAAATTCTTATTCATGTTATGGGTTACTGTATTACAATGCCGAACTGATTTTGTATTGGGTTATCATGAAACTCTTGGTAACCCTGTAGACTAATGGGTGTTTGTGCATGACCACGCCGAGCCACGGCCCCCCCAAAAAAAAAGTGGTGTTCCATGATTTGTAATTTCACTTCTGGTTTGATTATCAACTTGTCTATGCTCAGAATCTAGCTCCTTCTGAGTGGAGAACCTTGTATTGCTATGTTGCATTTCAACTCTACTGCTTCCGATTCTGAAATTTTTTTATTCATTTAGACTGTATCTTGTGCTTCTTCTTTTTTCAAGGACCCTCCCTCCTTCAAATTCCTTTTGGGTCTTGTTTTTTGTTGTGGGTTTTGAACTGTTGTACGCATATTGTCTGCTTGGCTGGTAAACCCATGGTGCAGTTTTTGAAAACAAATTTTTATGTTTACCAAAAATAAGGCATAGCATGTTTATGTCTTGAAGGATATTTGTTACTGAGGTTTTGTGTATTTATCTATATTTTTTGTGGCAGGTATATTCCTCTCAGTAGGACCAAAGTTTCTCCTCCAATTGGTCCTACTTCCTACCCTTCTGTGTCCTCTTGTGGTGAAACTCCAAAAAAATCTGTTACTAAGCTCATCCGGCTCAAATATGGATCAAATGAGGCAGCAGGAAAGGTGTGTATGCTGTTTAATTAGTTGTGACAAGCTCAAAAAAATTGGAGCAATTTTGTGGCCTTATGTAGTTGGTGGTTATGCGGGAAGTTATTTGATAGAGCGTCTAATAATTCCTAGGCTTGTTTGTAGTTATGATAATGATTCTAAATCTGGCTCTCTTTTTTTTAACTTGTACAGTTATGTTGTGAGTCATTTGAAAGTTTTATGTTAACTAACTCTTCTTCTAAGCTTTTAGTTTGGTGGTGGTTGTAGTTTCTGGTTAGGTTGTCTTAATATGCCTGGTTAGGTTTGGTTTGTTTTTTGTTTTTTTGTATTTTTTTCCAGTCCAATGTTTCTTTGTCCATTGAATATTAACCATTTGGTTCTGCTGATGGATGTTGCAGATGCGTACTTTAGAGGTATGTGGGGCTTTAACGGATGAAATTAGGAACTTTGACTACAGTTGCTTAGGAGAAATAAGAATTTTAGGTGCTCTGAAACACCCATGCATAGTAGAAATGTATGGACATCAGATATCATCCAAGTGGGCTCCTTCTGTAGATGGTAGTCATGAGCATCGGATATTGCAATCAATAATTTGGATGGAGGACATAAAGGACGGTTCCTTACAGGTGAATTTTACCGGTTAAATTATCAGGTTTTCTTTTGCTTAGCGTTTTTATATTTTGTTTTAAATCTTTTCATCTCCATCATGTGACAGAGTTTTATACAAAAGCTTTCAAAAGCTGGTGAGAAGCATGTCCCGGCAGAGTTAGCTTTGTGCATAGCTAAAGATGTCGCATGTGCACTAGTGGAGTTGCATTCAAAGCACATAATTCATCGTGACATAAAAAGTGAAAATATTTTGGTTGATTTGGATAAGAAGAGAGCTGATGGAACATCTGTTGTGAAGCTCTGTGATTTTGATAGAGCAGTTCCTCTTCGGTCTTACTTGCATACATGCTGTATCGCCCATATAGGAACACATCAAGCGGATGTTTGTGTTGGAACACCTCGATGGATGGCCCCAGAGGTTTTGCGAGCAATGCATAAACGAAATATTTATGGACTGGTACGTCTTTTACATGCCAAGGATTTTTGTGCTTAAATTAATGAAAAATACTTGGTCTGCTTACAAGATACACTATATTTTGGTTTTCAAATTGACTTTTGTTGCACGAGTGATAAAGTCCATGAATTGCCATTTCAGATATATAGCATGTGCCGCATGTGAAGAATGCTACCACATTACCTTGTACACCATAACTCAATTTTAAATTTAGGAAAACCACAAATTGCACTGCTAGAAATCTATATACCTAAAACATACATGTGTGTTGAAGTTCTAGATGGTTCCAAGTGTTCCAACCTCAATATTGTCGCTTTCTTCTATATTAAATCAGTGCAACTTTGGTTTTTTTGCATAGTTTAAGTTTTATTCCTTTATTGTTACAGGAAGTTGATATCTGGTCCTTTGGGTGCCTGCTGTTGGAAATGTTGACTTTGCAAATTCCTTATGCGGGAGTATCTGAAATGGAGATTAATGAACTTCTGACGGTACTAATCTTCTCTCTCTCTCTCTCTCTCTCTCTCTCTCTCTGTTATGAAGACTTTTGTATGGTTTGTTAGAGAATGTGAAATATGAAAATATGACTAAATAGAGGGACTGGTTTTGAGGGGTCCATACTTTCAGTAATTGTTGAAACTGAAGTTGGAATCTTTTAGTCAGTGAAGTGAGAAAGGGAATATCTTAATCCTTATTTGTTTATTCCATAGCTCCATGAGTTTGTTTGGCATTAGGACCCTAAGGTTGCTGCAGTAGAGCCCTTGTAAGGGGTTGCTAGAGTACTTTTCCTTCGGATGATGGTTGATAAATTGATATACAGCCTTCAATCGTGCATCTAGATTGTGTTAGCTAATTGTTTTAGGTTACATTTGTTTATATTCTAAAGAGATTTTAAGGTTGAACATTTCCTTATCTCTGAAGTAATTCTGCTTATTGTTTGTTGCATACAGATGGGAAAACGGCCAAAGTTGACAGAGGAGTTGGAGGCATTTCGGTCATTGGACGAGCCAATAATGACTCAAGCTGGGGCAGAGCTTAACGGAACAGAGGCCGACTTAGACACACTGAGGTTTCTTGTTGACTTGTTCTACCAATGTACTGAGGAGAATCCACAGAATCGTCCGACAGCTGACAACCTTTACGAATTCTTACTCAAACACAGCAGCTCTCCTCCAAAATCAAGAACTTAGAAATACTAGATTGAACTTTTAGGCAATAATATTCTATAGAGAACTCCAAATTTTGTAGCCCCAATGATGTATTTTTGCTGTGTCAGGCTAGGCAGCTATGTTGTATTATTATGTCTCCTGTAAGGTCTGTAATCTAATTGGAGATTTGTAATTTTTATTGGTGGTAGTTTTTGACGCTTCGTTATCCATGTATTATTTTGAGACTCTAAGTTGGCCAGGTAAATCATAAATAGCTCTCCAAATTCTGATTATGCAGATTTGGAATTTGGTTATATACATGTACGCAAAAACTTATAATTATCAAAATCATAGAATAAGGGTTTAATATTATCTTTGTTGGGTAATTTATTTTAAAGCCCCAGTTCTAAATTATTTTCTGTGTAAAGTCCTGTTATTCGTTTGCCTTCGGTTGAGAAATCAAATTGAAAATATAAAGATATATGGAGTCGAGTATCTTATTTTACCCCTTCATATAAGCGGATGTCATACCTAGAAAATGAAAAGTAAAATGAATTTTTTTTAGGTTTCTAAATCAAAATTATAGAGGATTGAGGATCTAATTCAATGTGACCAAAATGATTTGGTGGATTTTCTAAAATTAAATTGTAAACTAAACAATAATTGGTTGCCCTCTTATCCCTTATTTTGTTATTACAAAAGTTCCAAATCCACTTTTAATTTTGGAAATGGAAAAGAAAGCAAGATAAAAAAGTGTACTAATGAAAAATAGTTTTTCTTGGCCAAAATTAATAGGTAAACAAATATTTGTATTAATTATCAGAGGAAATAGTTGTGAATGTAAAAAATAATTTTATTTGCAGGTGTTTTTAGCAAACAAATATTTTGTATCAATTATGTGGTGGAAGCAATGTTCGAAAATAGGTCTGGCGCCTAAAGGAGTAATCGGAACTTAGGCATTTCTTTCTTTCTTTTATAATTATTTCCAAACTTATGCAAAATAAAAGGATATATACATTATACAGTACCATAATTGATATAAAGCATACAAAGAAAAATACTTGAAATGAAAGGCTAGGCCTCCAAGCCTAAGTTTCCTTTAAATCCAGGGAAAAAAAATTATATATATATATAATAATAATAAAAAGACCCAAACCGCCTAGGCCCATCTTCCGAATTTTTTTTATTTAAAAAAAAAATAATTATCGATAGTAACTCCGTTCTCTTTTTATCTTAATCCAACCCCTGAAAATCCACGAAACTTCCGCCGATATAGCACTTCGATTTTTCTCCTTCCCGTTCCACTCACAGTTGATAAACTCAAAGAGCTTCTCAGGCGAAGCAATGGCGGTGCCTCTCTTCAACCTCGCCCCCAATCTTACCGACTCTGAGTCTGATTCTTTGGCCCTCCCTCTCATCCTCAAATATAAATTCATTATTCGCTGGGACGATGACTTTCGGCGAGCAAAACACATTTCCGGCCTCGACCAAGCCTTTCAGGCCGGCATCTCTGCAGAAATGTATCCAGTGGTTCAGCGAGCCCAGACTCAGGGGAGGAGCGAGGAGCGTCGTTTTGGCCACCAACCAAGGTTGTAAAGTAGCTCTGAGAGTATCAGTTCATGCTAATAATGGTGTGCCAGCTTGCTTTTCACTTCTCATGTGTGAAAATTTGTTCTGATATTACAGGTTACGGGACCGTCTGGGCAGATGACTTGGATACGAGATGGCCCCAAGTGTTTGAATGCTAAGAATATCACCGAGGCCATTGACGGCAGGTTTGCTCAAGCAAATAGTTTGTAATTTTGCTTCTGTTTAAACGCTTCGTGTTATGCTGTGCTGAGTGATGAGTTATGTAATGCTTAAATGCAGCTTAAGGCGATTGCAGACACATTACATTGATCTTTATCAGATTCACTGGCCTGATCCTTCCTTTTAGTGTTTTGGGATTTTGCTTTCACATTACTCTAAATTTGCAGATTGACATGAATTTGACAATGGGTGTATGCTTGATGTAAATTTAAATTTCATTGCTTTCACATTATTTTTTCCCCAACTATATATGTTTACAACTCCATAATTTGCTTGCCTTCACCCAGGCTTGTCTTGCTTTTCCCACTTTGTGCCTACATAAACACAATCCCTGTTAGTAAGACTTGAAATGATTAATGACTGTTTTTGTAGCTATGTTCCCATGTTTGGAGAAATTGAGTATGATCCAACCCGACAGTTCTGTTCGATTCCTATAGACGAACAACTTGATGCTCTTGGAAGAGCTGTTTATTCTGGTAAGGTTAGTTTCATACTGTTGCCTTTCTTCCCCTTTCTTTGATAAGTCATTTAGTTTGGTGACTTTTTCCTTTATTTTGCAATGTTTTAAGAGCATAAAATTCCCATGTGAATTGAAAGGAAATTTTTGTTTTGTAGAGTAAATATGTTGGTCTCAGTAACGAAACACCATATGGGGTGATGAAGTTTGTTCAGGTAGCTGAAAGGAGCACTCGCCATCCAAAGATTGTCTCTGGGTAGGTTGTCTATTTGATCATTGCACTCTCAGTTAAATGCTTACTGTATTGTTGTTGCTGATTTTTGGACTAATGCAACTTATTGTCTATTTGATAGAACTCATACAGCTTGCTCTGTCAAACTTTTGATTCTGGGTTGGCTGAATGCTGTCATCATGAGAGGTATTAAAGTATTGGTTTTCAGAAAAAGTGAATAGCTGAACAGTTAATTATTTCATCCGGTATGAAATGATAGGGAAAGCTTGCTTGATTTGTGCATGCCAATTTCTTGATGAAGTTGAAGTTATGTTACTTTTCCTATCCTGTCCTAAACAGTTCTTGAAGAAATTCAATTGAATATTCTTGCTAATTAGTAGCTTGAATAATATAAAATTAGTAAGTGGAATTAAAATTCCAATAGAGAACATGAGAGTCACTTTTGGGGAGGGCTTCTTATCTCAACATGCATTTTGGGTTTTCATTTTGAATGGCTTTCAAACATGGGTAAGCCATTGAATAAACCTTATTCATGTGAGTTTCTGAGTCAGTTATTTTGAGTGGTAAAATGATCGATTTAATTATATTATTTATAAATGAGTTGCAGCCACTTCATGTAATACTAATAATTTTCTGTTGGGCTATTGAATGTTTTAGGATCAGTTTATTAGCCTACAGCCCCCTTGCAATGGGTATACTCTCTGGGAAGTATTTTTTGCCTGATGGGCGTCCTGCAGATGCTCGGTTGAATCTTTTTAGAGGTCAATTTTAAAATTGTTCATCTCATCTTTTGATATGTAGGAACTTTCTGCACTCTTATGTGGTGATTTTGTTTCAATTGGGCTGTCATGTTTCTCTTTGCAGGGAAATATTTGGAAGGGGAACCCAGATACAACCTGTCCGATCACATCATAAGAGCAGCAGCCATGGTACGGATATTCTTCTGTTCACTTTGTTAGGCCAATTGAAAGATTACTGAATCTAAGGTTTATTAGAACTTTGAATTCAAGTTAGCACAAATGCCTTTTGAAAACTTTGATAAAAATCTGGCCTCTGGGTGAGAAAATGATAGTCATACCTTTTCACTGGTTTTGTTTCAATGTCATGTTTACGTCTTATTGGTATGATGCCCAGTGGTTATTAATATTTTTTTAAAAGGCAATATAAACTTTTAATTAAGTGTATGCATGCACGCTTGGGTTGGATGTGTGGGTATATACAAGCATGTGTTTCTGCATCTGTGCCATAGCAGTTCATGAATGTCTGCAGTACTCCTTGTTCTAAAAGGAAAATTATTTTGAATATTATCTCTAGTTCCAGCATTTGATCTCTTTACTGCATGTTGTATTTATCGAATACTGATTTACTAATCTGCTTTTATTTCCATTCACAGGAATACATTGATATTGCAGGGAATTACAGTGTTCATCCAGTATCTCTTGCAATAGGTTCGACACCTCTCCCTCCAATTCTTTATAGTTTCTTCATGTTCTTGTCCACGTTAGGACTGTGGTTTGGAGACTTAATGTTAGAAAATGAATAGTCACCCGTTTGCTTGTTCCTCTCCTTTTTCTCAAAACGTACTCTTTTTTTTCTTAATAATGTTAGATTTATAAGTCTTGAGTGCTAACTAAGCAAAATTACATGAATAAAATTGCTAAAATTGAAATGACGGGACGGAAACAGAAAATGTACCAAACCACAAAACCCAAAATGTTAGTTGGGATACATTTTATGCGAAAAGTTCCACTCTAGCCAATTTAGCTAAAAACAAAAAGAAACTACTTTAAAAAGAGATAACAAGAAGAATCGAATTGTTCTATGGCATATTCAGCTAGCTGTGCGTAACAACGAGGAGTTGAGCAAGCTTTTGGGGACTGTTACTATTGCTAATGGCGGTGTTTTGTGAAACATTTATTAGACTCTGTTGCCGAAGAAGATTGGTAAAGGGAAAGGAGACATTAGATTTGCGTCTTAAGAATTTCAGAGTTGCTTGTTAAAATTTGGGGACGATTTGTTGTAAACACAAACTTTAGGAATTTTGGCTGAATGCAGAATTGTAATGATAATTTTGGTTTGGTAATTATCTCTTTGCGGAGTGAGATTGACTGGCGTTTTGTATGAGATTTTTGGTACTTATTTCTACGTATACATACAATCATTTTCAATCTGCTATCCATTTTCAAGTGAATTAAATTAAAAGTTTAGCTCCATAGCCGCCAATAGGATCATTTGCAAAATACTATATTCAAGATATAAAAAAGATCTCTTGTCGTTAATTATCATACTGCGTTATGCTTGGGCCTACTTTGTTGGTTTTGGGCTTCAGGCTATGTCTTGGGTTTCAACCCGAAAAAGACAAACACAACAGTGCAAATTAATTGACACAATCTCATCAGCCAATTGGGTTTAGTCAGTCTTGATTTGCAGATCAGTTGTTTTAGGTTCTATCTATTTTTTATGGCATCTTAGCGGTGTGTATAAGAAAACCCACCTCCCTTTTTTGACTTTGACCCAAAAAAGAAAAAGAAAAAAAAGAGAATCCCATCACGGCCACAGAATAAATACATATATAGAAGATTAAACCACAATAGGGTTGAAACTATTGAGTCACTACTTTTTCCTAACGAGTAAAACATTTTATATAAAAGATAATTATTGTTAAATTGAATATATATTCACATAATTCAAGAGACAGTATACTTTTCCCCAAACACCATGGTCAACTGATAGCCGGAAGAAGCAGAATTTTCTATTTTTTTTACAAGGCACACTGTTAATACACATGGTGTGGGAAAGTTAATCAATTTCATATTGCCCTTTGGCAAAGATTAAAAAAAAAACAATATATGTATGTATATATTTACCCAAAATAAAAAAAGGCTAGTTATTGCCTGCCTGTTCCTAGAATAGTTACCAACCACCACCCCCTTCATGAAAAACAGTGGGAGTAACATGGGCTATTCCTAATTGATCTCTTAAAGGAAAAAGTTAAAAAAATATAAATAAAAAGCCACCGTTCCACTTGTCTTGTGTTTTGACTTGGTGTGCCACATGCATGCAGCAAGTGCAGTAATAATTAAACATCTTCTCCCAAAAGAAAAAAGTGCCAATGAGCATGGGGGGGAGACAGATCATAATAAAAGCTTATACAAACTACAGACATTAAACAATTAGGATTAGCAAATATGGGTTAGATAAGTTGACTAAGAAAGTGTGTTCGTCCATTAGTTGATCAAGACAGTGTGTCCGTCTATTGAACTCGAGTTCAAACCTAATTTTTCAGTCTATATTACCCTTTGGCCCTCAGCCTTTTGGAACAGTAGCAATTATATTAGTTTAAAATGTTTAATGGGCTGGGGCTGGTGCTGATGCTGATGCAGTGTTCTGCTTTATCCATCAACTGCACTGTTGTAGTTGCCTTTTGGATAAACATAAACCACTCTAAATTATAATTCTGAATTCTAAAATAAGGTGACAGCGAGACGGCAATTAGTAAATGTAATTGCCCTTCCTTCTCCCTCCTTGCCGCCAGCCTCACAGCTCACTGGGCAGGCACCAGCAGCAGGCATATCTACTACCAGAGCAGAGCTAGCAACAGGACAGGACCTGGACCACCCTAGTCTCTAGTCTCTCCAGCCAACTCTGCCTGTCATCCTGCAAAAGAGGGACCAGATTTCTTAATAACCTAGCCCTTTATAGCCCTTAACTCTTAGGGAACACACCCCAAAGGAAATTATAAAATCCATCTCTCTCTCTCTCTCTCTCTCTCTCTCTCTCAAGTTCAAGTTTAGTACTGTATATATCAGTGGTAGTAGGAGGGCATGTGATTAGTGATGAGCAACCAAAACCCTTATGATCCATCATCTCTAACCCACGTTCTGATTTAAAGTACCTATTTTCATCAGGAACACTTATATAGATATATATGTTCATTGTACAAAAACTAATGTCAACCACATCGCATGCAATTTAAGGTAATGGAAAATTGAAAGGTTGCCTTTATGTTTTTTTACCTGAATTCGTGGGTTTTGTTACTTTGTACATATTACTTTTACTGTTTTTGTTCTCTTTTACTTGTTTTTTTCTTCCACTTGGGGGGAGTGTAATTGCAGTAGACTGGTGTACAAGCTAGTGAAAGTGAAAAATTTGAGCTCCATTTTGGTCAGCAGTTGGAGTAATATTGGACCACCATATTAGCAATGGCATATAAAGTTTCAAGTTTCCCATTAAGGGCAGAATTCATATTTCTAGTATTTTACCACATTCTCAGAGCAACCTCATCAAATGGGTAGGTAGGAGTTGCTTATAGGCTTAGGCTAAATTACTCCCACCACCTGCCTCTACACATTGTAAAATGAATTCAACTAAGCTTATGGCCCCGCACCATAATATAGCAGCAGATTCAGAAGGGGGGAGGGTGGAGAGGCTTATAATGATTCAATGTTTGGGCTTTAGATCACACATCATTACACCAACAAACAATTCGCAAAGTTTATATATATATTAATGTCAAGTAAATATGTTTATAAGGTAGTGTGTCCGCCCCTTTGTATATAAGTTTAATATCTCTCTTCCCATACATTAGAGTAGTTTAGAATATCGTATTGTCAAATAATATCTGGCTGTAAGAATTAAAACCCTAAAATTAGATAAGAATTGATTGCATTCTTTAATTTCGCGCCGACCAAATAACTAGGCACACCATAATTTTTGTAGCCTGGATCTGGCTAGGGATGTCAGTCATGTACAAAGGGCATATGCATCATGCTACAATCTTGCTAACATCATCACCCCAGAAACATTCCACATTATGATGAAATCTAAGAAAATCAACAGTGAAACTTTTAACAGTGGTAACCAACCATCGAGTGGGTAAGTGTAAATTATTGCATTCGTATATATGCCTGCCATCAGCATTAAAATTCCAACCATGTAAATCAAGGTTCTTTTTTCTTTTCTTTTTGGAGTGAAAAATTAATGTAGCATATTCCAAGCAGAAATATATAATGGAAGTGCCAACCATGGCCTTTTGAAAACAATTTTGAACGTTGTTCATTAAACTGGCTCGATCCGCAAATCTGGTGGTAGTCCATATACAGATTGATCATTTGCCTAATTGATTCTTGCTAATTTAACTATATTAACTAGATTCCATTCTACTAATCAACTAGCACTTTCGTCTAGTGATATTTCTCTTTCTAAGATTTGGATACACAAGACAAGGAGTGTTTAATATTTTAATGTTGGGCTATTTTTTATCAATATAATGAGACAATATCTAAAATATCAACAGTCTTGACTTCATATCAAAATGATATCGCTATAATGGGTCTTTTTGAGAACCATTCTATAGTCAAAGTATTATTTGAGAGTTTTAGTGTAGTTTTTGTCCACTTTAGTTTTGGTTTTAGCATTGTAGTTTGTTGCACTCTTGGGATTGGTTTTTTTATTTTATTTTAATACTTTCACCACATTTGTATACTACATTCTCATACCACCTTATGTGGCAGATGATGTGTACAACTACATCAATTAAAACTAATTTAACATTTTCTTTTATTTTATGATTTATTGATACTTTTTAATTGATGTAGTTGTACACCTCATTTGCTGTATAAGGTGGTATGAGAATGTGGTAAGAATAACATTATTCTTTTTTCTTTTTCTTTTTTTAAGAAATTATGGGATTGCATTCATAATTCAATTAAAAGAGCCACTAGCTACAAAGGGCCAAAACAAAGTAGCCATAAAGAGCTAATACAAAATAGCCACAAAGGGCCATTACAATAACAGAGCAATCTAACATCAAAATTAAGACAATATGGTATGCCTACACTAACGATCACGCATGATCGAAAAAACTCTGGCATAGGCATCCTAACTAAGATTGCAAACTTAAAACAATCAAATAAAATAAAGCTTGAAAAAACCTAAGCAATAACAATACAAATAAAACTATCACAAAAGAGAGGTGGAAAACTCTCACAAAAGGATAGGTGAAAACTACATAGACTCAAAGGGTCTCTGCGATAATTCTAAACATAAAGAAACTGCAAAAAGGATGGTGGTGGAGATCCGATGTCATAACGCAACCGCCTATGATGGGTGGAGGAAAATCATAACAAAACGAAAACAAATGGGGGAAACCTTCCATCTATGAAAATGGGGAAAGAGAGGAGAAGGGAGGAAGAGAGAAGGCGAGAGGGGAGGAAGAGATGAGTGAAGAGGAGAGGAAGAACAATGGCTTCCTCTCCCCTCAAAGTGAAAATTTTTGGGAGAAAGAGGACTTGGAATTAGTATTTTAGATGTCATGTTTATGTCTTTAATTGTAATATTGCAGTTTATCTGAAGAAGTTTCTCTTTAATTAAAAAAAAATTTATTTGAGAGTTTCTCCCTATTTTCTTTCTCATTACTTCTAAGATGGTAACAACACAAATCTATGGTATTTTTAGTCAGAATTAACATAAGGATGCAGTAATGCTCACTTTATTGTCAATAACGATTGTATTTCGAATTTCAATATAATGATGATGATGTTATTATATATTTTTCTTCTTCATTTTTTTTCAAACAATTAATATATCTATCTAATTTATTTGGATAAGCACAATATGTCAAAATGCATGTTGCTCACTTATCTTACTCCAGTACGATCGTGTCATGCTAATTAAGAACATGATCAATTGCATGTTGCACTGAGTGATTGAAACCAGGGACGAATCCAAGATTTTAAAACTCTGTGGGCTAAATTTACTTTATGTACGCAAGAAATTTCAGCAGTGAGGGCCATATCACACCAAGTTGGACTTTACAACACGTGTGAGAGAAAAAAGAGATACATAGAATAAAAAAATGGAGAAAAAAAGGAAAAACAAAAAGAGAAATGCGGAAAAACAAAAAGAAATAGGAAGAAGATAGAGAGAAATGAAGAAAATAAGAAAAAGAGAGAACATGGGTATTGATTTTTTTAATGCATGGGATAGAGAGAGAGAGAGAGAGACTACATGGATATTGACAACTAAAAAAGAGGCATGGGCTATAACCCATACAGCCCAATAGCTAGATTCGTCCCTGAAACTAACCACGCGAACAATTTATATTGAGTGGCATGGAGTATATTATGCTAGAAATTAGAGCATAAACTTTAAAGTCAAGCGGCCCAAGAGTTGAGGCTCGACTTCAAAATCCCAACTTGGGATTATATACACTCTCAACAAAAGCTAGTTCCACCCCCAATGAAAACCAATAAGTTATGTGAAATCAAGGTAAGAAGATTATACTAGCTAGGCAACGGGGATTCATGTAAGGGCTTGATACTCTCTCCCCTCAAAGTTGCAACAACACACATTGCATACTGTATCAGTGGCCCTGTGAATGTGGAGAATATGTTAGGTACCGGTTAGGAGTGGACGACCTTATATATACAGTATACTAGGAATTTTGAAATATTCAGTAATTAGAGTCACAGTATATATATACATATATAAAAACCAAGGAATATATTCCAGCCTGTGTATATATATTATGCTTGTTTAATTAGTTAATTAACAAGAAAATGAAATATGGGTTCTTAAATAATAATAAAAAATTGAAATGAGCATCCTCGATCTTTTTAGCCTTATTCAGTCTTGTAATTAAGGACTTATGCTCTCGCCTTGTTAGGCACCTTGGTCTAATGATGTCCCAGGTTTGGCTAGGACAAGGTCTATCAATTCCCTTGTAGTTTGAGTGTTTTGGTTTGGCTAGCTTCGGCCTCCTATGTACCCCAAAAAGGGAAAGAAAGAAAGAAAAAAAAAAACCTAACTTGTGCTATTCATAAGCTTTATTGCGAAGGGTGTGGTGTGGTTGCATATATTGGATTCATCATCACACCTAGTGTTTAAAAAACAAAAGGGACGACATTTTTAAATTTTAAACAACAATAACTTTATATATATATAACAAACAAGTAGTCATTTTCCCAAATGTCGTCATCAGATTTCTTTTTCTTTTTTTTTCTTTTTTTTTTTCTTAATGATATATATATTTTCTTTCTTTCTTTATTTTGAAGGGTATCAAATGTTTCCAATAACTAGTATAGTGCAGCTGGCATCAATCAGATGCACACAGCTACCAAAAATTCAAGAAATGGAAATTTTTGCAAAGGAAGGCTATTATCAATGGATTAAGAAAAAAGATGCTTGAATGGAATGGAAATATTGAATGCACATTGGAGAGAGAGCGAGAGAGAGACGTAATAAGAGATCATTTTCTTGGGTTGAGATGCTTTCTTCTTTCATCTTTATGTGTGAAACACTATGTAATATCTATGTAATTGTAAGATAACCATGCAAAATGGTCCCAAAATTTGAACAAACAAACACACTATCTCTCCTTTCTTTCTTTTTTTCCTTTGGTTCTCATGGTTTGATGCTTTCCTTTGTTGTTGTTGCAGCTGCTGCTGCTTGTGAGAGAGAGAGATAGAGATGTGAATTTAGGGTCCCCCACATGCCTGAGGCCCCAACCTAAAAGTCATATTAATGTAAATGCACACATATAAGGAAACACTCACTAATCCGTCTGCAGCAAACTGCATGGGGGGTAGTCTTGGCGTGATAATATTCAATATGCAAACATCACACAATTGGGACCACCCTCCTCCCTCCCTTTACATCTTTCAATTTTGTTTTTTATTATTAAGTTTTTTCAGCTTTTCAATATTCCATCTAATTCTTAATAAAATGATAATTCTACCTTCTGCCTCTATTTATACCCTCCTCTCATCTTCTTTCTTTTCCATCAAACCCTAGCTCACTGCCTAGCAAATTAAAGGCCCCCCTTCTCTCTCTCTCAAAATCTTTCAAAATCTCTCTAGTCCTGCTCAAAGGAAGGATCATGAGTATTGTACATATTTTCTTATCATGCATTTGTAGCAGTTGAAGCTGCCAGCATGATCTTAACCTCCCTATTTTGGTTAGGGAAGATCAGATCATGTGGCAGTTTCACCTGTTATTGGTAGCATGAGATCAAACCCTAATTCCCACATAAACCTTTGCAATCCCTAGATAAAAGGTATGTCACGATCTTCAGTTTCTCAATAAGTCGACGGTATGTATGTCGGTTTTTGTTGTGGTGTTAATTGGTGTATTGATTAATTCAGCTAATGTTTATTTTTTATTTTTTGTGGGAAAGCTGCTCGGAAATGTCAGCTGTTTGGGGTTGTTAGGGTTTTGAATGACAGAAACTGTGTGTTTCCACGCAGTTCGATGATTTCAAGATCCTCATCTGGCACTTCGGGCATTGAGCCACGGCTACCGAGCAAACCTGCCGTACTCTTTTTGATTATTAGTCATACGGCCTGCATCAAGATTTCATATGTATGTATGCATATATGTGTTCATGATTTTACCATGAATTTAAGGTTTTCCATTCACGGTCTGAAATTCGATGTGCTTGCCTGAAATTTTTATCTGAGTTGGAGGTTCCTAAATTTCATCCATGTTATTGACTGGGGATTAAGCCCTAGCTAGGTTATTACATTGGCTAGGGTATGGAATAGAATCATAATTTTTCTAGAGAGAGAGAGATGGGGCAGTGAGGTGGACTATTACCAGTGTGTTTTCACGGGATGTTGCAGGAAAAACAACTTTCTGAGGGCTTTTTTATTTGTATAAATTTAATGTCATTCAACTATATAATTAACATATGGTCTTAAATTATGTGCATATAATTTACACTTAATATTGACATATTTCATGAGATTGGGTCCAATTTTATTTCTCAGAACTTCTTTCTAAGGTGATGAAACTGCTTGTGAGATATGGGAAGACTTTAATTGAGAATGGGAGTAATGAATTTGGACCATTTGAAGATTCTTTATTTATTAACCAAAAATACATAAAAATAAATAATATTTCTTAAGGATCTGGTTTTCTGAGCTCGTTGCATGTTACAATATATATCTTCCTTTTCAGCTTATAGGGTTATGATGGCACAAACATACTTGCTTTACATTTCTAGTATATATTGTTTCAAGTTCTTATTTCCTCCCTATAAATTAAATATATACCATCTTTTTTGGTCTGAAAAATATGTATACCATCTGAAATTGAATGTAGAAGACATCTGAAATTGAGTGTTGAAATGAAACCATGATTTTAATTTGCTCTCTGTGTATTAATTCTGTGGCAGTTGGGGGATAATGAGACAAGTTATTTGTATTCTGACAATAATATTGGACCAGATAAGTACAGTACAGGCAGTCATTTAAATGCTCACCTTCTCAAATTGAGAATAGAATATGAAGCCATATGGCTTGAAGTACCACCTTCAGGCTTCAAAAGGACAAATATATAATATATATATATATTTTGATCACTTCATATCATATGCAGACCAGACACAGATCAATTCTGGCAAATTTGGATTCTCAGTAGAAATAATCTGTGAGATTGGCTGTGTCTGTTTCCTAAGTGTGCAATGTGATAGCAATTGATGATGTAATTTCTCAACTGTGATCCCCATGTGAAACCCTTCAATAGTTTCCAAGTTTCATAGTATAAATGTAATTTACCATCTCTCTCTCTCTCTCTCTCTCTCTCTCTGAAGAGTCTCTGTATGTTGGTTGTTGGACTTTGGGCCCTCTCTTTTGATAGAATGCATAAATGGAAAAGATTCCAAAGAGTTTTCAGTTTCCCTGAGAAAATAAATAATCTAAAACGTCACTTTGTTTGATTCTCCCAACTCTTTCCACAGTTTTTCATATGTCAATTATCATTCATGAGAAGGGAAATAATCAGATGGGTGATTAACTAGGTTGAATTTGTCACATACCAAATATGTAGATGCTGCAAGCACTTGAGCCACCATTGGTAGCAACGCCTTCTTAGTTGCATTCTGAGTAAAAAATGATCCAGAGGGCAAGGTTTCTCCAACATTAAGAAGCTTAGCACAGGTCGATGATTAATCCTTATATATATTAGTCTTTTTTAATACAAGCGATAAGGGAGGGGGGTTTCTCACATACGCATGTACCATGGTGCCATTGAGGGTTCGAACCTAAGTTCACTTTAGATTAATGGGATATGATAGTGTTGATACTAAGAGTCTTCTGATTAAGTTGAAGAGATTTCATAAGGTTTCTTGATTTCTAACTTTGATCTGCATTTTGAATGTTCAAGGAATTTATGAATGTGATTTTAAGATGGACAAATTAATGTCATATGAAAGGGAAATGATATGTATAAATACATAAACTGAAACTATTAACACTAGTTAATTATCTTGTAAAAACTTTTCAACCAAAAGTTAAAATGTCTCTGCTGAGTTAATTACCAGAAGAAGAAGTAAATGCTGGAAATGGAAAAAAGGTGGTAGCATCATAACCAGAATTATAAGTGGAGAAGATACCCAAATCTCTACACTAGTTGTTGGATGAGTCTTGTGAGAGCAACAAAAGACAAAAAGATGACTGGATGTACAAAAATACTTGAACCACCACTGATGTATACCTGACACAATAAAAGAAATAATGCAAGGTATAATGACTGATTTTAAAATAAGAAAATTTAATTTCAAAGTGAGAATTTGCATTTCATCCACTATTATCAAACAAGTAACATCCTTCATGACATGTATTTGGGAATTTGTTTGTACTGGAAATCAAATATAAATTGAGTAAAAGAACCAGGCGTGATGACTAGTCCTTCCCATTAAAAGAATGATACTGCATTTGTCCATTTCATCCAGTAGCAACAAACAACCACATTTACCATGTCAACTATCAATTATGCTAGCACTTTACCCCTGCAGATTATGATTGACAAGTGACAACCCATCTTCAACCACACTAACTACCACTTTAATTATCACTGCTGTAATTTTCAATAGTTGTAGTTTTGGATTACTTCTATCGGGATGCCAATGTAACAGTATCTCAAACCACTCACGCACTGTTATATAAAAAAATTAAAACGAATGATAGTGCATTTTCAAAAAGTTAAAACGTATGATAGTGCATGATTAACTCAGGATGTCGACAACATCCTAGTGTAGGCAATAAGTTATTTTTTTGGTTTAACCAGTGTAGGTAAGTTACTCTCGTAGTTTTGGCTGCCCTTACGAGCTCAGATTGTTTGGTCGTGATAGCAATTTATTGTTGAGTAACTGGTAAATTGCAGAAGGAATCGCAGTTAATAACTTGCAATTCTTCTCATTCATTCTGAGATTTATTGCCAATTGCCCGAAATGAGAAGCAAAAATATTCTGATAAAGGCGTTCCTCAGTAATATCATCATGACTCTCGAAGTCATGTGCGTAGCAATACCAAACCAAATACGAGGAGTAGTGGGGTCCTGAGCTAAGCCTTGGCTAAACCTTGGAAATCTTAATGCCATAATGCCTTTCAAATCCTCCTAGTTCAGATTGTTTGGTCGCGATAGCATTTTATTGCCGAGTAACTGGTAAATTGCAGAAGGAATCGCAGTTAATAACTTGCAATTCTTCTCATTCATTCTGAGATACTTCTCCAGCAAAACTGCCAAGACTGGTAGTTTTGCGAAGTATCTTTGAAGACTTGAGCATAATTTTCCTACATATAAATTTGATTGATTAATTAACATTTCTTTACAGAGGCTAGAACTGATAAACTTTCCCATAATGGGGGTCTACACTGCAAGAGAACAAGGACCTGCTACCTATGATCAAAGAACTCTAACGCTATAACCACTGATCTAAGTTGAAATACCCCTTCTTTCCTGCTAGGTTAAACTGGAAGACCTTGAACCATGCATGAATGGTCCATACACGAAGAACGAATCTAACAGTGAACGATCTTATGATTGCAACATCGTTTATGGCTAGCTCGTTTCGGCAACCAAACCATCAATCCTCTTCTACTTCTAACAGTAAAACATTACTCTCTTTACATTCTCCTTCAAGGCTGGCAATGGCCGGACCCCAGTCTCTCCTGCAGCCCGTGTACCCTTAGCAGTATGACCAGTAGAGCCATTCTCCTGCATATCTGGCTCCATATAGAATCGAGCACGGAAAGCAGCCAAATGTGCATAATATGCTGGAGGTACTGCAAAAGGAGCCACAGAATTTGGTCAATCTAACTACAACTTTTAAAGCACATAGTTGAACTTTTTGCAGCTAGAATCCTAGTCTGTCATGGCTTTGCATTCTCTGGAGTAATGATTGTTCGCAGCAAAAAATTATTCAGCAACATAACAAGGGTAGAAGACTGGCTTACCAACAGAGACGGAGCGTGTGCACCTTGCATATGTGTAACAAAGGTTGTTTGTCAATGACTGGATTCCATCAGCAGTAAAATTATTCTCATCCCAAAGAACATGGTAGTGAGCCGGACGACTTGTCCCCTGCCATATGAGATAAATATTTATACATTCAACCTTCAAAGATTTTAAGAATATAACGATTAGCAAAAGAAAAGATATGCAATTAATCTTTGTTTATAAGATGACTATATGGGTACAACCATATCTTATTAGAAATTAAGATATCATCATTCTCAAAACCTTCCTCTTTACCCACAGCTATGAAGCAAAAGCTATGCCCAGAGAAAAGAGAACGAACTTTCCCAAGGTAGGACTAAAAGTATTATATAAAATTTAGGATCTATTAGAAATTCTATGCCCCAATCACTCTTTAGAAAGAACCTTCTAATGAGTTGTTGGGCTTGCCCATAGATCAAACTGTAGAATCTTATTCTCACCCATTGCATGCCTCACTTGATCGCAAAAGTGAATTTTTGAAACATGATTGTTTTAGACTTCATGGAAAATGGTTTCAGTGAGATGCATTTATATGTTTGTAAAAAGATGAATACAATTTGGTACCTGAATACCAGCGTGACTGCAGAGATAAAAATCAAACTCTGTCGGATGACAAATCTTAGTATCAACCACGGTGCCTGAAAATAATAAACACATAGAGCACGGAACTCTCAGTATCAGTACAAGTCAGTACAGCATGAGAGACAAAAGTTTTCATGATAATTGAACTTTACCAGGCAATATGTTCCCACTCTTGTCTATGCTGCTTCTGTCCCTATGGTTATTAGCAAATAATCGTGTGTGGTGCCGTTTTTGCACCACAATGAAAGTCACTGGCGGTTGATAGTTTGGTTCCAGCGAAGCACATGCCTGTATGGAGATTACTTATCAATGCAACAGAAATTTCCACTTCTATCTCCAATAATCTGATACTAGTGATAATCACTTCTCACCTTCCGGATTGCATCTAGCTCATAAAGTAGGACTTGATAAAATTGCCCTTCACTTACACCGTCCCTGCTCAGAATATTTGCCATTAAAATAAGAAAAAATCACCACAAAATAAGGGGGGAAACAGATCCATATATCTCACATCAGGAGTTGTCACGAAAGAAGCTAGATCAAGGGTAATCTGAGTGTTTGTTAACAACATGAAGTACCAATGTCAAATTAAGTCATGCATACACCAGCAATAGGTATACAAGACATTTTACCTGTAAAATATAATCCTTAATGGCTTCTGCCCTGTTGCTTTCCTAAACGAAACCAGAAGATCCCTGGACAAAAGAGAACATGATATTGAGATCGAATATTAACACCTTCAAAAAAGAGTAAAATGCAACAACTTCCAGCATGGAGTTGCATTGTGTGCAAGCAGAAGATCCAAGGAACAAAATGGGTTCACAAGAGTGGTGGGCAAGCCATGGATGCTACAAGCAAGTAAGAGGCCAAAAATGATGTAGACTAGATTGAGAGAAGAAGTGATTGTAGAGTTCACATACCTGATCATGCCACCACTGACTGTGCCACGAACAGGGTCCTGCCATGTTTTATACAAATCTTGTATGAGTTCTTGTCTGTGAGCTTGAGCGCAAACTAATCCGGCATATTTGGTCACTTCAGGCCAGTCCTGGGAAGCTACTACCTGCATAAGTACAAACATTCATTAGCAACAAAGGTTTCAGCATATATTGCAGAAAGAAGTTCCAGGTAGTAAAGGCCTTTACGGCAGCGATTGAGGGGCTGGAATCTTCTCCATTCTCAGGGTGAGTCACATCTGCTCCAAAGATTATGGTTGGTATATCACTGACTAAAGGTATCCTGCAGCTTATAGCATCCAAAAGAACAGTATTTCTGCCGCCCATCTGCACAATGGATGGATCCAAAACGCATCAGGATTCAGTCATTATTGGGACAAAAATGATAATTTCCATTCGAAATAAATAGAAAAGGTTTACAATGACTCCACAAGAGGCAATTATTTTTACCATATATATGAAATAAGAAAATATAAATAACGAAACAGTATGCTGTAATTCTCAAACTAGTGACTTTGTCTCAAGTCATATGCCATAAAAATCAGCTCATTCATGCTTAATGGAGTCGCATATAGTCCGGGAATTTTCCACGTGTAAACTGATTGTTGTCAAATCACCTCTCATAGTTAATACATGACGAGTGAAATGAACTTGAAATTTTGTAGCATCATGTATTCATAATATTGTGAAATTGAACAAA